AGTGCATTTATGTGAATTACAGGAGATTATTTGTCGAGACAAATGCAGGCAGCTAGGAAGTGTGGTTGAAATATAAATGTTTTAATTTTGTAATAAAATCGTAACATAATCCATGCACTTATTGTTTTGTGTTGGTATTTCCTAATTGCCTTTCATGTCATTTTCAAACTCAGACGAGGGTGGTGCTTTGACCTGAGTTTGGGAGAGTCCAGCAGACAGTGTCTAGTGGTTTATCCCAACAATAGCCTGAAGCACAAAACCAGTAATGAACATAATGATGACAAATGGAACATTTCAATAGCTACAGATAAAGAGGATTTTTTTTTTTTAGGTTTCTTCTCCTTTTCTGTGCACATTTTCCTGCCTAGAGCCTTTCAAATGGTCAGGTGATTTTAGAAAACAGGAAGTTTAGAAAGGTCAATGTACTTTCTTCCTCATGCTAAATATAATTTTCAGCTGATGACTTTCTATGATCTAATAATGCAGGATAATGAGATTCTGCAACACATGCTTATGAGTAAACACCATGGGACAGTGTGTTTTCTGTTGGACAAATGAATAAGAAACATGTCAGGAATAACAGAATTAGAGCGGCCACAGCATCTTGATAGCGCTCATTATCTCCAACAGTCAGGAAATACCTCCTTTAATGCCATCTGATTCTTAGACTCAAACTAAAACAAACTTTATTAAACAATGTTTTGGACACAGTAGCTCACAGTAGCTCACAATATATTATAATAACAAAGAGCAAAAATATAAGTGGTTATCATAAATTCAAAATAAGTAGCAAAAATAACAAGAGACTGGTCATTGTATGAATGTATATCTACAAGTAAAAATTTAAAAATGTGGTCATGAAGTAAACTAGTGACTTAAAGGTGCACTATGTAACTTTTTAGCTGGGGATCCGTCACCTGCTTCTCTGTCTACAATGTTCCACAGTAGGACATTAAACAGCTCTACCTTAAATTTATTCACTCACAGATGGTTTTATAGCTCAAAAATACCCAGAAAAACAAGCATTCTGACTGTGAGCAGGGTTGCCTCTCCACAGACCTGACTTGTAATTTGGTCTGGTTTAGTCTCCATGAAGATAGGAAGGTTTAAAGTCATACTGTGAAACATTCCAGACAAGGCAATAACATCTCCATCAAGAAAAGCATTTTACGGACCCTCCACCAGAAAAGTTACAAATTGCACCTTTGAATCTTTTTATCTGAACACAGGTACTGGAACAAAAATATAATGACTTATTTAAACATACAAAAATATAACCTTTATCTGTCCAGAACAATGGAGTTGTGTCCAGTGATTAAAAGACAACTGCTGGGCCTGAGCCTGTCCTGGTAGAACACAGCAGTATAATTACAGCTGATTTACCCCAAAGGTTAAAGATGAAACTCAGCTCACAGATAAAACAGCCTGTGCCTGAGGACGCTGTCAGAGAATCACTTTAAACTTAAGTTTTGACATCGGCGCTTGGAGGCATGACTTTCTCGACCTGTTAGAAATGACATACTAATGTGCTCAGTCCACAATTAGGCAAGAATTTAAACATAATTCTTACATTTCAAACAATGTGCACCATCTATATGATCTACTCTCTGTGTGAAAATCATAATTACTCTAATAATAAACTTAAGTGAAATGTTAAGAGACCAGGACAGATTTCCTTTAGCCTTTCATTGCAGCAGGACACAGACACTGAGGCTTATGTTGAGCAAAACAATCCAACACTGAAGGGTCCACTGCTCTGACCAAGTAAAACGAGATTCATCTTAATGACAGGTTCCTCTACTTTAGCCTGAAGGTAAATCTCAACACACTTTTTAACTGGCTTCTGTTGAGGAATGACTGACAAAAAACTAATACTTAACTGTTATAAATGCCAGGGCTGATGTCTGTACAAAGACTTAAGATAAATAGGATTATGATGACTGACCTCAGAAATTAAGGAAGCTTGAATAGACACTTAATAGCTTACTCTGCCTTTTCAAGATTTTCATGGTGTAGCGAGGTATTTGCAACAGTCTGCAGTCATTTTACAATCTATTTTAATGATAACTGAAAACCTAATCCTTACCAGCAACTGTCATGTTTGTTGTTGTAATGAAACTTGAATTTGAATATCCTTACTGGCAAACATTAAATTAAAGTATTATCAAGTAAAAGGTACATGGGAGTTGTTGTCAGACGCACCTCTGTGAGCCCATCTCAGTTTGATCCGGCCCCTTGGTGTGAACAACAGTGCGGTGCTTTGAGAGAAGAGAGGCTCCTTTGTAATGCTGCTCTGGGACTACTTAGGAATTAGAAGAGAACAAAATGCATCAGTGTATATCTTCTTCTGTGAGAGAGAGAGCGTTTGTGAAGCCATTGATGTGCTGAGTGATTGATGGTGCTGGTATATGCAAATTACAATAATGTCTTATATACGTAGACAGAAGGTTTCCTAAAGGAGAATGTAATTTGAATGTAGGCCTATTGTGGTATGTTTGTTCTTTGGATAAGTTGCAACAGATGTGAGACAGACATAGAGGAAGAAGATGACAATTGTCGGGAGGCCAGTTGCAGTAACTTGCCATCTGGAGTCAACTTAATAAAACCACACAACGCAACAAAGAAAATATGTAGTAGTTTCTCTTCTCTTTACCATATATAACTTTTGAGCATCAGCCAGTGACTCATAATATGTGGAAATACATAGTCAATAATGCTGACTTAATCCTAAATGACCACATATATGAGTCACATTGTCCAGTGGTATACATGCCTCAGAGACAGTATTTTGTCCTGTTTCAACTTTTTTCCCCAACAGTTCAATTGCTTATACTCATTTTCAGAAAACTTAATTCATATTTCTTCTCCCATTTCTCACAAATACTTTGAAGATGATATCACTTACATCTCAGTAGAAAAGTCCAGGATATTAACATAACTGCTTTGTTGTCATAATAATAGCTCAAATTGTGTCTGTGGTTTAATCCTATTGTCACATTTTTTGCAAGTCAGTGCAAAGTCACATGTCTTTCTTAGAGATTAAGTATTGAGAAAGTCATCTAGCACCTGCTGCTCAGCTCTGGTCTGCAGTAAATCCATAGTTCTGTCTTTCCACACACCCACTCACATTGTTTAGGCTCAGGGCGTCACGGGGCTGGTGCAGCATCTGCCTGCTGTGGGAGAGTGACCTCACCATCCCCCGACAGTTAAGAGGAAAATACCGTCACATAAGTAACATGCAAGAGTCATAAGGATGACATAATGGAATTGCTCATGTATTACTTTTACTTTAACAGGTATATTTGATGTGATTTTTAACATGTTAAAGCATAAGCCAGTCTATTTACAAATGAGACCAACTGGTCATTCAGATATGGTCTTCAAAAAATAAGCAGCATATAAATGATAAACTACACAGTAGTAAAATAGAGTGAACATATGGGTGAGAAGCATCAGGCTGACTTTAGTTCAGTTCATAAATGTTCATACTTGAGCATGTTGCTGCTGCTGTTGCTGGTGGGTTGCACCAGAACATCTGGCCTCAGTCATGTGGAGTCAGAGTAAACTGAACCTGATATTTGCCTCTGTGTAATTCTGACTCTTTGTGATGTGGACTCACATCTGTGAGTCTCTGCCCAAACTATTCATAGAGTGACCACTGGAGCAGTGAGGGACCTCCCATGGGAAGTCATCATGATGTCTGTACAGTATATTTACTGTAAACTGTGACTTTAGACAAGTGTACTGTTTAAATGTGATGGTTCATGTACAGTTTTTAATGGTTTGGATTATATGCTTGACTTTTCTCAGTTCCGGTGGACACTTTCCCACACTTTGGAGTGTGCACACTGTCTGCTGCTGCCAAGGCCAACCCTCATACTGTACCGAGCACAGTGCCAAAGATGCCCTCTGATGCCAAGTGGAGTGGTTGTTTTAAACAAGAAGGCTGCGACCCTGCCCTGGATCATGTGCTATGTCAACATGGGGTCCAGGTCAGTGTCAACTGCAGCCACAGGCAGGACACCTCTAAAACCAGCCCCTGGGACAGTGTTTGTGTGTGCACAGTGAATATCCACTCTGCCCACTGTACTGAGGAAACATGAATACTGGCATCTCTGTGCCAACTTCCTGCCAACAGATCAACTCCCACCAAGCAAACACTGTCTCATACACGTGTACTTGATTTAAATCAGATGTAGAAGTAGAGTAGTTCTACATATAATGCATTCATGTAAAGCCTGCCAGTGTGCTATGTTTGAAGCAATTGATTAGGACTATTATGTGGCTATAATTGTATGGTGCACCTGCATGCATTCCCTAAGTAGCTACCATACAGTAGAAGCATGTTTGTCTATAGTCCATGACCCTGGGCCTCAGCTGATTGCATAGTCCTCTGACACTGGACTGTTTGAGCCACACCTGCTACAGGGCCGGCCCCAGGTCACACCGGTGTCTCCCTCTACCTCTGCAAATAGACCCAGGCGCGGCCGGAGTTACGTAAGTGACGGCTTTGTCGAGTGGTTTGATTAATGAGCACAGGAGGTAGAGAGGCGTGACGTCTGTTTATGACAGATCACTGCCTTTGCAACATATATGAGTTTACATTCTTAGAAAGAAGGGGCATGGTATGTAGGTCTGCTGTATCAAGCACAGGGCATTGGAGAGGTGAAGTGCTTTCAGTTACATATTTATCATGTACAGTTTTTATTCCGATTGGTTAAAATACTCTTGACATTTATGATTGTGTTTTATAAGCTATATGATGTTTAAGTCATTCTATGTTTGTATGTTGAGAGGTCCAATCCACTCCTCAGCCCCACATGGGAGTGGCCTCATGATATGTGTGTTATATAAAAACACATCTGACCATAGCCAGTGCTTATCATCTGTAACTTTTGTCCACATTTTCTAAACCTGCCCACACCCAGTGATTGTAGATAGGACTTTGCTGAACAATATCAGTGTTGGTATGAATAGCACAGACACTTTTAATTACCAAACATTTTTATATTATTTTAATAATAACTCTGGTAGACATTATCTGTATTAAATACATTTGCATTCCAGTTATTTCCAGAGTAATATAAGATCACAGATCAAATAGACTTAAATGTGACTTAAGGACTTATGTTAATGCCAAGGCAAATAGAATCTGAGACAACTATTATTTACACAAGATACAAAAATATATTTCACAAAAAGACAGATAAATTTACAAATGTGTAGCACTATAAAATTACAAATATATTTCTAATATAAAAGCCATATTAAATAATCTTCCAGGTCAAGTTTTGGATGAGGAAGTGTATGTCTTCTAACAATAAAGGATCCAGTGACTCTTTTATTAAGTCCAAGTCTTTTCCAGTTGAAGGAGTCCAAACCCTCACACATTGTCCATGTTGTTTCTACCGTGCTAATTTAGAGCCATCTTCTGCCCTCTCTCCTCAGGTGGTCTGCCGTGTGCAGAGGACTAAGTCAAGGAAAATACCAGCTAAACTCTTCACACAGTCCCTGTCCGTTGGCAGTTGCCGTGCCATCCAGCTGTTTCCTGTTGGGTGGGTTCCAGATGTGTGCTATAGCCAGGGTACAGACGTCCACTTCCTCGTCCCTCACGGCTCACAGTGTCACATGCCTAAAAAAAGGACAGGGACAGACAGTGCTGGTTAGAGCGGGACTCCTTGGCTCCTGGGTTGCTGGTTCTATTCTCAGAAAGGTTTGGTCTCCACTGAGGGGGACATCGTAAACACTGGTGGCCCTAATAAACGCGCCTTTCTACGGGACTAGCGGGGTCTGGCCGACTGCCTGCCTGACTGGCCCATTCACTGTCTGGGATTTTACACAGGATGGAGCTGAAAGAAGATCATTGAGCAAACGGCGAAGGAAAACACATAACAGAGAAGCAGCAGAGGAGGAAAACAGAAAACACGGAAACTTTTGAACTCCCACTTCTAACATTTACAGTTTGTTACATTCCTCACACTCCTCGCACTTTTGCCTTATCAGTGGTGTAGTGATGGGCAAAACAGGTTTACAATGAGTTCTATGTAATATACATCAGAAAACATAATGTCCTCCTCATGTAATCATAACTATCGTAGGAAAACTTGGTCCACACAACTCAAATGCAACATATTTTTTTAATTTACAGCTCATTAACTTTTGAAAATAATCAAATTAATACATTTTGGAGTTCAGTGGCCTAACTTTTCTTTACTTTACTTTCTTTAGGATGGAAGGTGTGTGTCCTTCTCCTCTCTTATTCTCTAAACCTACTCATTGTTTAGCCCCAATTAAGACCTATTCTGATCCTTGCAGTTTAGTCCTGATCAAACTATTGCCATGTTGTACTACAAGTATCACCTAGCAATCTACTGAGTCCTGTTACAAGTGGGTATACAATCAGAATGTCTTTGATAAAACACTCAAAGCAGTCATTTACATTAACATGGCACGCTAGTACTGGAGAACTTTATGAGTGCTCAACAGCAGCTCATTAACAGTGGTGAAAGAAAGGGCAAATGGGCCAGGGTACTTCATAAGAGCTACTGCAGTTTAAAAGCTCATAGGCACTTACTTTCTAATGTCCTGTCCAGATCAGCAATGAAGTCCTCCAGCTCTTTAGTGTCTCCAAGTTTAGCTACAAAGAAGAAAAACTATTAATTATCAAGCAAAGAAGGGAGAAAGTGTACATTATTTTTATTTTTGTGTCTTACGTTTTGGTGACATAAGGGTGGGTGAGGTGGGGTTGGAGGGGAGCCCCGTGGGTGAGTTGAGCCTCTCGTCACTGAAGCTGAAACTGTTTCTGTTGAGCGATTCTGCACCTGATGCAGACAAAAACAAACAAATTAGCTTCTATGTTGAAATGTTGGATCTGTGTCAGAGAGTAACTTAAGTGTATAATTTTATGCATTCTCCTGTAATGACAGCCTTCCACTTTCTCACTGTCAGGCACGCGGTTGTAGTAGACACAAATATGCATACACAGTACACACAGTAGCAAGGGTTTTGGGACAAGACTCTATAGTGCCTTTTTGAATAGAGGTCTAGACTTTGCATTGAAAGCTGTATCCATAAGTAATCATCTCATAAATCATCCCAAGTGACAGTGATATAATGGTTTAAGGAACTACTTAGATCATGTTACTCTAGTGAACGCTTTAGGGATTTTATTCTCATTCTTAAACCAACAATGTTTTTTTTTTCTTATGTACATATACATTTATATAGTTATGCCTTATTTGAGACCTTTGCTATTTTTGCTACTTATATTGAATTTATTACTATTTATATTTTTGCTCTTTGTTGTCCAACATTCTAGTCTTATAATGGATAAATATAAATATACAATGCTTCTACATTAAAAAAAAAAACATCTCCAAGAGTCAACCAAAAATAATTTGATGTTGATATTTGAACAGATTCTTGTTGCCTGTCAATCACCTATCTTGATGGTCCATTCTGGACTTGTAAATGTTTTGGATAACCACCAAAGTGAACTCATATGCCAATCACTTAAACTGCCCCCATCCTTCTGACTCCTGTCCCATACATCCTCTTCTTTAACAAGACCCTTTTAACGGAGTGGCTAACGGTCTGTCCATCCATCACACAGAAGCACAATAGTGTCACTGAGTGAGACAATCCCCTGTTCAGAGGACTGCCATGGAGAAGACACAGCCCTCATAGGAATCTGATCCCATTGGCAAATCAACCACTTGTTAGTGCAATTAATGCCAATTCCAAGACTGTTCCTGGGGTTTTAAGACCATATAGTGGACAAACTACCTGCTAGGTACTGGTGGTAAATTTTTAAACTGCATTGGTAAACATTGCCAGGACAGACTTCAAGTTATTATGTAACTTCAAAGTAGTGGCTCAAGCTAAAAACGGCATGAAATGGTATTTGCATTATGTGTCTGAATTCCTTTGCGGTATATCTAAATGTAGTTGAGTGCTTTTCCTTGATGTTCTTTTGCTTTTTTTCCACACTGCTCATAATTGCTCACATTTCCTTCCTTGCCAACTTACAAATAAGATAAATAAGAGAGGATTTTCAGTATGCTTAAATTAAGTTAAAGCAACACCTTTGTTCAAATGCCGGAGGGGAAAGTTATAAATAAAATACCACATAGCAAAAAAAAAAAAAATCTGTCCAGAGGTGCAGCTTCATATGCTTTCAGCCAAATCTCTACACGCCTGTGAAGATCATCTTTTTCTTGGATGCGCCACATTACAAGTCAGCACAGCTCCAAATCTCAAATGTTACAAAATGCAAACCATGCAGGCATAAATGAGGCAGACTCTTGAGTAACTGACACCTAGAGGTAAGAATAGCATTGGCATGTGATTGGATGGGACCACACTAAAAAGTATAGGCTCACATGCGCCTGATCTCCGTTCTGGAGGCTGTCAAACTTTATTGCTGTAATCTGACACTGGGATGGCTTCGTATAGCGATGCTTGGTATTCAGGCGCTAAAATGAATGGAATATTTAATGTACTGTTTAGTAACAAATATATAGTTCCAAAAGTGTTAATTTGTCTTAATATCAAGACCTTAATGTAGACTTTTATGATATCATGTATAATCACGATGTAGAGAAATATGAGATAAAATTAAATTACAATAGACAGTACAGAAGAAATAATACTATAGAATACTCTTCGCGCTTTACGCACACCGATGGCCTTGCGCTAAGTGGCACGTTCGCTGTCTTTCCCACTGCAAATCGTTAACACCCATCTCAACTGTCAAGTGTGGTAAACAGATACACCGTAATCTATACATTGTTTCCATTTGTTAGGGCTTACTTTCTGAGTCACTGATGCCACTGTCACTGACACTCGCGCTGCTCCTTCTCTTCATGGTCTTCAGGTGCTCATCATACCTGAAGTGACGCTTCTCAATAGGCGACGTAAAATCTTCAATGACAGCGTCAAACTCACCGAGGACGTCGTCAAGATCCTCCTCACTGACAAATTTTGCTGCAAAACAATTCACACAGTTTGTTTTTTCCAACGTGGTTCGTGCGTAAAGTTGTTATCCATAGCATATTATATATATGTATTACATTATATTATAAATCCCTGTTTACCTTGGCTCTTCAGCTTTGGAGACTTCATGTTTCCAGTGATTTTATCCAATACAATCTTCCCTTTATTAATAGTCCAACCGTGTCCTTTCAGCGCTCTACACTCATTCAAGACTCGAACTAACCATCCTCTGGCTTCTGGCGCTTTTAACGACCTCTGGGCTCAGCGGGGGCGGTGACGGGAGCAGGGAGAGGACCAGGGGGGAGTGACCAATAAAAGTGTTCCCCGGTTGAAGTTACACTGCGCTGACGTCGCCCCCTCTTAAAAAAGTGTGTTTGTAAACAACTTGTGTGTCACTTGCCAGGCAGGGGTGTAATACACGGATATTTTTAATGCGATGGCTCAGTTCGTTTTGTATTTTATCTCTGGGCAGATCATGACAGAAGCAGGTCATAGACTCATATACAGGAAGACAGCGGGCGGCCACTACAGTTTGTGTCAGAGCCATAAGCCAACATACAGTTTTACCTGCTCGTTGAATCCGCTATATGACACTGGAGGAAGCTATAGAATTTGATCTCCTCCGGTACTCACTGTGCATAGGTTACTCTGGGCCATGTGGACCATACCTGAAATACTCTCGGCCTCTTTATGCAATAACCGAAAAAGTCTTAAAATACTAAACATGAAAACTTAAAATGTAAATAGACAGAAGAATTTATGTTCAAAGTGTATTTCCTCCTTCTCAAAACTTTTGAAACAGAATATTACTTTATTCCCATAAGCATATAAGCCATAATAAGTACGCTACAAAATAAATAAGACTACTAATATTGTACAACGCGTTGCTTTTTTAATTTTTTATCTTAGTAAACAAGGTTTTTAGATAAACTTTAGATAACTCAACAAGTCAATAATACTATCTGAACGGTCTTGACAGATGCTGTTGATTAATCTTATAGTGCCCCCCTGTGGTACACTATGAAAATTAACAATAAAGCATTCCTCAAAATCAGTGACCTTAAACTACAGTCCATCTCTATCCAATAATACCTATTATCATACACTACATTCTTGGAGTCTATACACTGATGCCAACAGCTGCCAGAGCAGAGTCCTCCTAAAGCCGTCTGGCGGCTGGACGGCCAATAAAACTATTCCAGAGCCCATCTATCTTCATGGATAAGTAGTGTGGACTCCAGTCACGCTGAGATTTTCACACCTCCACTGCCTAGTTCAACATGATCAGCAAATGGATAAACATGCCATGTGTTTGCAGCTGCACGTGTCTGTTGACTCTTGCACCCTTGGGTGCTCTTAACAGTGGCTCTGGCATCGGCTGAGGTGCTAAAAGTGACGCCTTCAGGACACCCTGAGAAGCTATCACTTCACATACTTTGAGTATTTGAGTTGACTTTCTATTTAGCATTTTACATTCATACATAATTTAGCCAGGAACTAAATTTCAATTATATTTATTGAGAAAATTAATTACAAAGTCCTCACATATTTACATATATTGGTATTCATTTTTTGTAAAAAATATATATATTTTATATATAGACATACTAACAATACTGATATTCATAACCTTGTGTGTTTTTGTACAGAGATGCAGTACATTCCTTTTTTAAAAGACAAACTTGCAGTGACAGATCATTTATGTTGCCATAAAGTTTCTCATGAGACAGCTTATTTTACAACATGATGAGTTCTGCATATGGCATAGTAGAGCTATACATATGTCCTCTTAAATGACTACAGCTATGTTAACGCAGCATGTCATATTGCATAATTAAGATTTATTGCACTTATGTTATGTCCACATGACTTCTTCGTCCTTAAAATAAGTTTTAGCATCAAATGTCTTCTCTCTCAGTTATTATAATGCATGCACAGTGTTATGCCTATTCATTTTGTTTTGTATTGAGGAGAACTTTAAAAATGCAGGGACAGTCAAAATAAACATTATCTGTTAGTGATGTTACTGTTACGTAATGTTGTTGTGTATACTACCTGAATAAAGTTTGTTTTCAAACAAACATTACGTATCCTTTTGTATGTGCATGTATTTGTCAGAGTCACTCAAAGTCACAGCCCAGAAGTTCAATCCTCATAGTGATGGTGTTCTTCCAACTTTTGGGGATTATTCTGATAAAGCGTGAGAAAATGGGTGGATAGATGTAGTTTCTCACATGGTCAGAGTTGTTTGTGTTTGCAATAAAGGTCTGTGGAGAGGAGACAGAGAAGCATTGCACGTTCAACCATCTTTTATATAGATTTCACTGATTGAAATAAAGCATTAAAGTGTAACGTACCTTGGATAAGATGGCCTCATCATCTGTGTAGTCAGTCCAGTGAAGTCCATCGCTGCTGTACTGCAGAGAAAAGGAGATCACATACATCTCTTTCCCCAGAGCCTTGGCTCCCTGTGTTACAAGGCCTGTGATCTTCTTTATCTGAGGCAGCTCCACCTGGAGCCATTGGTGCAGGTCATTTGTCTGTAGGCAACAGGAATGAGCATTTTGTAAATCTTAGGATATTCCTTTAATTGTATTATAATTTTTTTTATTTAAACATTACCATGGCCTGCCATGCGTTGATGGTTCCTTGTTTGTTGAGACGTGCAAAAGAAGGTTTCCATGGTCCACCGTACCAGCTGCTAGCTGTGGAGCTAGCTGATATCTGATGGTCCTTTATCTGTCTACTTTCCATCCCCAAAGGCACAGAGCAACCTTAGGCCACACATTTAATACACATGTTAAAAAGAAAGTACTTGAAATATTTTTGTGTAGTTATTTTATCTGTGTGACTTAACACATTTAACATTGTTACCATCAAGCTCACAGCCGTAGAACTCCATGCGCACTGTGGGTTTGTCATACCACTCAACTGGGTGGAGCCGAATGAACCGACCAATTACAGGTGGAAAGAAGGTATTGGTCTTGGTCTCATAAGCTTCCTGGTTCCCAATAAAAATCTATTGAAGAGTGTGGGCTACTTAGGTTTGTTTTGTATGTGAATTTGAAGTTTATTTTCGCTGTTTGTACCTTTCTGACACTCTTGCTGTCACCCTTGTAGAATGTCCACTTCCGTCTGTCATGACTGTATGAAATGGCATACTTTTTGACATATTGTGAATAAAACATCTGTTTGGCCCCTTGGGTGGATATCTGACTTATCACCACAGGGCGCTGGAAGTCAACCTGGGAGAGAACGCATGTAAAAATGAAAACAAAACTGCTGTGCGAAGTACTTTTTCCCAAGTATTTTTCCCCAAAAGCACACCTGAATCCAACTGTTGTCTTCATCAGTGCTCCATGCATTATATTTTCCTGCATTGTTCAGTCTGGCAAGATGTGGTTTCCAGTACCCTTTAAAACAACATACAAATATAATATCAGTAAAATTATGTTTGTAATCATCAGAGATTTTATGATGGTTAGCCCTGATGACATAAATGTTTTGTACCTCTGGAGTTTTTAGCTGTCATCTGAACGTCTGTCACACTGCCTGACTCCAGTCCAAATGGATGGTTGCAATCTAAAAACAGAATCAACAGCAAAAGTTCTGTGAAACAAAAAACATCTAATAAAAAACAATAAATAAGTTCTGTTTAAATATTTTACCATCATCCAAAACGAGGAAGAGAGTTTGCATGCCCTTTAGTTGGACACTCCCAACCTCAGTCTCCAGTTGCCATAGCCCTGGCTTAGATGGGATCATTTCTAAAGTAGCAAAGCTTCCTAAAATAAAATTAATACTACATAAAAATACAAATACAAAAGTCCATTGCAAAAATAACAATAGACGTATTCATCAGACATACGGAAATCTAGGGGTACCTGGCAATAGTGGGTAAACGGCCTGTTTATAACTTTTGATTTTCTTGTGAAAAAAGGTTTGACCATGAAAATGAACACTCTGGAAGTCTTTTGGAGAGCCCATGTTGATTAGATGCCAGCGAACCAGCTGATTGGTGTACATCCTTAGGCCCTTAAGGCTGTGAATAATGCCATTGATTGCTAAAATAACAGAACAATAAAATATGTAGTCATATTTCTGTACTCCTCAGTAGTTTGATTTTTAAGTCACTCACTGTGGAACTGTAGGTTTTCTTTCAGAGCCATGGTCAAACTCTTCCTTCGTGTTTTTCTTTGAATTTTTTGTAGATTCTCCTCAAAGTACCAGCTCTGAGACTCATCAAAAGTCATGAAAAGCAGTGTGAACTCCCATGTGTTTGTCACTAATTTATTAAGGGTCCCTTCACGGCACACCAACAGGGGTCCGATCAGACCAGACTGGATGTCCCTCTCCTAAAAGACAACAATGATCTCTTTATTATATATTTACAAAAATTACTCTTTAACTAACTGAAAGTAATACTTACAGGATTAACACCAGAATAGTAAGCCCAAGTCCTGCAGTCGGACTCGCCCTTTGCTGGGCCGACTGTGGGAGGGACAGTCCATAAATAAGTAAAGCTTTTGCCGGGTTGGACCTCATTGTCATACTTATGCCAATATTTAGAGCCATCTTCATAGTTTAACCCCTCAGTCTGTTTAGTGTAAACAACCCCATTGGGATGTAAAGAGTAAGGGCGGCTAGCATTGTTTCTAAACACAATCTAAACACAAGACAGACACCAGAATTAATTAGTGTAAACAAAATTCATTAGTGTGAAACATTTAGGATTTTGTCTTACCACAATATCCTGTCCGACCTCTGCCTTGACAAGAGGTCCAAGAATTCCCAAGTGCTCATCTATCTCTCCTCGGATGTCTGGTATAGTGAAGGTGCTGTCAATGTATTCTCGGAAAACCACTTTTTTAAACTTTGTCTCACGGCTATTTAATTCTGATCTCTCTTGTCTCCTGTAATAAAATACAACAATGAATTAACTGACTTTTAAGCTCATTTACGCACATTACATAACAAAATATACAGTTGTCATTTTGCACTGAGTCAGTTCCATACATCTTTGCCATTAGTGTATCAATACTTTGCAGCTAATGTCATCAACATTCCCTGAGGGTGTGATGCTAACTTTGAGCACTGCTCTATCTGAAGCTTGTTAGACTTTAATCTGAGCTTTATTTTAGCACAGTTTTTCAGTTGGTTACTCTAATTTTTTTGTTGAAAACAAAACAATTAAACAGGATCATAAACACTTGTACTTATCACAGACTCCTAAAAATGTGCTGTTAAATCCAAACCAAAATTTTTCTTTGAGACATTTTCTTCAGATATTATTAAAATTTATTGGGTTGTGTTTGTGCATTGTGACCCCATGGTAACTGGTGAACATCCGCCAATACACATATATGTAGAACACCTCCAGCACAATGTCACTACAAAGTATCAATAGACTATAGTACAATGCAAATATGTATATAGTTGTTTTATACCATGGAGTCAGACAGTCTTTATAAATCCTATAAGCCATAAAGATCATACAAAACCATGGCTAACTTTCAGAAAAAAATAAACTCAGAAATACCAAAATACCTTGACCATAACTAAAATGTATAAATGCCATGTTATATAAACACAACTCTTACCTGCGCCCATAGCCAGCGTAGTCCCACTCCACCTCTTCAGCTGCGATAAAATATAACTTACTATTCTTTCCCATATTTTTTAGGTAATATTTGGTGGCATCATCCAGGGTAAAATGTTTCATGTTTTCATTGCTACTGTAGGGGTCTTTATAGGACACATACTCATACTCCTCCTCTCTAACGTTTTTGAGTTCATCCAAGTCCAGGTGGTCCGGTTCATCCCCAGGTATGTACAGTTCGTAGTCACTGAAGTCTGATCTGGGCACACCTATCACTATGGGGTTGTTGATGAGATCATCTTCATCAGACATTGGTTTGGGTGAGACTGGTCTCGACCCCCTTGGAGACATCCCAGGGTTAAATCCACGAGGGGAGAAGAGTGGACCGCTCTGAGCTTGAGGCACATAGTCTTTCCTTTTTTTGGTCTTCATACCTTGTCCTTTATGTGGCCAGTGTCGCACGGTTACCTTTTTAACAGTTTTTTTGGGGGGCACTGGTTTACTGATGTATTTGACAATGTGATCAGGGATTTCCATTGGGACAGTTTCGTGTTTTATGTCATAAGTCCAATTTTGTGCAGGATTTTTAATTGGTTTACTTTTAATGGCTTCTCTGGCGTTTTCTTGAAGGTAAATAACAATTTCCTCACTGCTTACAGAGGCACCTAATTCTTCAGAGCTACGCACAATATAAGAATTACTTTTAGATGGTTTTGTTTCAGTTGAGACATTTTTCACAAGGGTTGTATTTCCATCTGCCCAGGTCTTGTTCTCTGTCATGTCAAAATTGATTTCCATAGATGCATTTAGTTTGAAAGAATCACCAGTTGTATTCTGAGTTTTTGAGACATTAGAGTAACTTTCAATTGATTCTGTAGAGTCTGCTGCACTTACAAATGCAATTTCAATCTCAGATGAGTTCAAAAAAGTTTGATTTGCTGAGTTTTCAAAAGCAGTTTCCAAAAACATAGAAGCATTTTGTAAATTTGTTGCATCAAGAGACAAATTTGAGGTTCCTAAACTGGATGGCACTGGTTCAAAGTCAGTGTTGTCATTGCTCCCATTATTGAGAAGTTCTTCCTCTGTGATTTCCAGGGTAACAGAGCTGTTCAGCAAATTAACTGCATGCTGAGAGAAACTGCCAGTTTTGTTCATTAATGACGTGTGATTGGTTAAACTGTCCATATCAAGGGAAGAATTAAAAGTTGTAATATTTTCTGTAACAATATCTGTATTATTCACAGTCACAGTAGAATTTATTAAAGTGGAATTTGTTGAAGTGGTCAATTCCTTAGAGACATTTGGAGTTGTGCTTTCTGCTGTATCCTCAAACAATTTAGAAGCAATGGCACTTTTAGTATAATTTAACTGATGTTGGTGCCCCCTAGTGGAGTTGTCACTAGTCCCTGTCAAATTCAAATAAGCACTTCTACTGACATCTTCCGAGGTATTATCCAATGTGATATTATATTCTGTCTTCTGTGGCCCGGTTGAGGCATTCTCAATGTTCACATTATGATCGTATTCATCAGTGTGGGAGTTATCAGGTGTATCGTAGGAGAATATGTCCCCTCTTGTAAAAATCTCCTCTGAACTATCTGCCACAAAATCACTCAGATAAGTCACGTTTATCATGTATAATTTTCTTACATCTGAAGAGGGGTCACTGTTGGTGTTGATTACATTTGCAATCGAGAGTGGTCTGGTCTCATTCGTGATCTCAGAGTTATTGTCAAAAACAGTGAGATTTGAACTATCTATTTCCAAACTGTTGTGTCCAATTGACAAGATCTCTGTGTCACTGTGTCCCCTTGTATTTTCTTCAACCTTCTCAGTAATATTAGCCTCTGCACTAGTGTCTGTTTTAATTGTAACATTTTTTCCTTTTGTACTTAGTGTATCTGCATCTCCATCTGGCATATCCACTGTGTCATAGTCCAGAACAGACTCCAAATCCAGTTGTTCCATATCTGTAGACTGGTTTTTCAAAGACCTTATGCCCAATTCCGCGGCAAATATCTCTGTGTATTCATCTACTTCTACAGTTTTTTCTTTCTCCTTTTTCTCCTGATCCTTCTTCTTCTTCTCTTCCTGCTCTGTCTGGATCACGTCCAAACTGTCAGGTTTCCACTCTGTGAATTTAATTGTATCTCCCTCTTCTTCGTCCAACTCTAAGTCTCGGAAGCACCCCACATCTTGGAACTTGACGCGGACACCCTTAGTGCTTTCATGGGTGCTAAGAGATGCCAGGAGCCATATACCTAGAAATCAGACCAAGATTAATAAGTCTATCAGTTGACACAAATTATTTCATTAGCTCTTTTAAGTGAGAACACATGGGGTCTGGAGCTTATCCCTGTTATAAACGAGAAAAAAGTGCTGGCTATGCAGGCTATTGTGTGTATGTGTAATCCCTCGCTGTTATGGCTAGTATAGAGTCATAATTCTACTGCTGTGAACATTTTAATTGTGATTACAATTATTGCTCCTGTCTATTACAAAAGATGTGTCATTGAAAAAAACATTAAATTTTTTTAATATTTTGGGATTCAACATGTAAA